GGTTCCGCTGGGTTGGAGAGCCCTCCAACAGCCAGGTGCCCGCAGAGCGAGTAAGAACTCTTGTGCAAAAAGTAAGGCAGAGTAGACCAAGAGATGGGAAGACCAATCGAAAGTGTGGACCCGTAAGTGCTGGGAACATAATTGAATCCAAAGGTCATGTCCAGCTTCCAGGGGCCTCAAGGGACCCTTTGGGGAAGGCAGAAGGGAACTTCTTTCCCCTGCAAGGTGTTCCTCAAAGTGCGACCCCAAAAAAGCGAAAGGATGACTGTTCCCTTACAGTTCGGTGAAAGTAGACACATCTTCCGGGAATGGTGCCATCTCCCTGGTGTAGCTTTCGAGCTTTTTCTGCAGACGTCTTTTTCGGATCCCCTGAAAGGAAAACTACAAGCGATGGTTCAAGGGCCCATTCCCCGAGCCAGACAAGTTTGCAGCACGCACCTTTGGACGCAAGGACCTTGCCCAGCCGGCCATGGAAGCCCTGCGCGAGGCAAACAAAATCCGGGTGGCTTCACCAAAATATCGCTGGGAAATGACGCCTGGGGGCAGGGACAAAGGCCCGAAAATCGAAGCTTGAAACCTGTCTTCGATGCAACCCAGAACCCAAGATGCAAGGCTCCGGCAACTGCCAAAAAAAACGTCATAACGTGTGCTGGTGGTTTCAAAATCCCACCCTTCCACCATACCAACATGATATTTAAAGGGGCCCAGAGACCTTCTGACAGCAGACAAAGGCTTGTGTCCCGGGGGTCAATCCCTGACTAAAGGGCCGAATGATGGCTCCCTCAAGAGAAGGAGTCAGATCCTAAGAAGCGTGAGCACGTATTGCCCTGCACAACTCCAAGTCAATCAGGGCGTGCGAAGATCAGGGAGCGCTTGACAAAACTTGTCAGGAAGCCCCCTCCTCCAATCCAAGTATTCGTACAGTGTCACCCACCAGGATGATGCGAACATCCTGCGAGTGGCGACTGATGCCCAAACAAAGCGGGTGCGAGGCACAAAGTGGGCCTGTCCTCGTCAGAATCTGAAATGTCATCAGGGTCGTCAATCCTCCTCTCCTGTCACAGGCAAGACCAAAACTGCAATTTCCGTGCAAAAATCCAAACTCATTGGCGCAAAGCTCCGCTATCATTGCTCAGCTCGCCAGTAACCATGGCTGCGCATCAAAATAGAGGGGAACCCCTAAAAACAGTTTGACATGGATACTCGCAACAGCCCATCCTTGAATAAGCAAGCCCGAGTTCTCTCGAACGGCAAGCAGGAGATCCCACCTGGGCCAAAAGGAGCAGCGGGCTCCAAAGATTCGGCGCCCTCCATGGCTGTAGTTGAGAATAAAACCCTTTCTGTGACAGCGAATGGGCCGTCATGACACCTTATCAGTCTGTTTTCTTCTACGACACCTGTCTTTCTTGCCCAACCCCTGATCAAATCCAGCACAGCCTCTGCCACCTTGGACAAGTCCATGGCCGAAGTCTGGCATTCTTGTGAAAACGACAAAGTTGCCCGGTGAGTGTGTCTCAAAATACGGGTCCTCTACATATTGTGCTTCCTTTTGGATTCCATTTACATACCAACCAAGACGAGGTCCACCATCTTGAGAGCCTCCATCCAAAAGGAGAGTCCCGTTCTCAGACCCTTGCCGAGCAGGAGGTTGAAGGGATCAGTGCATTGGCTGGGTCGGGATGACGCCTGGCAAAAGCGCGCCCCAATTTGTGCAGCCCGTTTCGCGGAAACGAAAGCAACAGGATATCGACCAGAGCCCACATTGCTGTGCAAATGAGCACAAAACTAGGCGGGCTGGCCGAATTCCCAGCACCTCACAAGTTGCGAAGCACGAGTAAGGGCGACTTCAATGACCAAGGATCATACAGTGTGAATTTGTCCAATGTGTCTCAAACCTTTACTTATAAAACAGCTCGAGGGTATCCTCAAAAAAGACACTTCCTTTTGGAACTCTCACCAATCTGCCGCGTCGCCTTCGCCGGAGACCTTGTAGACAGCACCCTTCTGAACGTAGGCTCCTATGGGACTTGCAGACGTGTGACCAGAGGTGGAAGACATCACTTGCGACCCTCACCGGCTCTCCCCAAATTTGTTCATAGCATGCAATGTTGTTACATCCCCCAGGCCAATTACAGGGGATGTGATTTTGACAAGATTCGGGAGTGACAAGTTTCGGGAAACCATGGGAACATGATCCCATGGAACCTAGCCCCCCTTTGGGTGATTGCATGGTTGACCTTTCTTGGCCAACCTTCGCAAGTGGTTGCCAGGTCGTCTACGGTTCCTGCCCTGTCGCCTTTCAGTGAAACTCAGGGGAAATGCAACCCATAATCTTCTTGATGCCAAGGACAACTTGACACCATCCAAACAAAACACCTTTGAACAAAACCTCTGGTGGCAAGCGGGTTCAAGGCCCGCTTGCACGTCTTCCCCACCCCAAACCCCCAAAATCGCTGGCTCCTAATGTGGGGTACCCCGCTGCAGAGGCCACGCAGCCAGCGGCCAGCAGCCCGGCGGAGACCGCCATGCCGCAGGCCACCGTGGTGGGGGTCACCTCTCGAGGGATCGCTTCTTGGGGGATCGCTTCTTGGGCACGGGTTCTAGTAGGGACATGGGTCAAAAGCCCACACCCCCAGTGAGCATCCCAATCCCCACTAAAATAGACTAAAATGGGTGGTGCCTACCCCAACATGGTACCATTGGTTTTGACCCACAGCCATATTGAACTTTTGAGCCCCCAAAAAGGGGTTTCTAGTGGTTGCCCTTTCAAACCAACCCAAAGGGTTCCTTTCAAAAATTCAGACACACGCTGGGCTGTCTCGGTGGTTCGTTGACCCCGCAGGGATCAACTTGGCAAGGGACGTGGCTGGGAACGTTTTGCTGCGCGATTTTGTGGGTCTGACTCGCTGGTTCTGAGGAAATGAGGGATCAGAGTTACCAACAAACCTTAGTACTAAAGGAGCCTAGCTAACGTGTAAAGATGCCAAAAAGACCAATATCTGCACCCGTTGTGTGGTTGGGACTCTCCCATACCCCTCCAACCAGTCTTCTGATTTTCCGTTAAGTTTGACTGGGTCTCCGGGCTTCCAATTAGTTGCCCGCTTTCGACGGCCCGATGGCGGGTTGGTTTCCTTGTCCCACAGCCCCCATTTTCCGCGGCGATGGTTTTTTGCTTTTCGGCACTGGGTCTCTGAAGGTCGCATGGCTTCTCGACGTTGCTTTTGGGCTGGGGAAAGGCTCAAACCGCCGTTTCTTTGGAGTGCATGCTTGCGGATGTCACGAGAAATCAATCCAGCTATGGTGTAAAATTGGGAAAAGGGGGGATGGGCGCGATTGATGGAGCAAGAGGTCCCAACGTCGACGTCGCTCGTCTTTTTCGTCGCCAAGTGTGCAAGAAAAGGGGAATGGGGGCGGGTTTTATTGATTCCATCATTGTTAAGTGTGGCGCGTAAAAAAGCCTATTCGAGTATATTTCCACTGGGTCCCAGAAATCCCTTGAAGCAAGCTGCCTGCGCAAAATGGCACGACCCCCACCATAAAAAAATGAGGGGCCCAACATGGCCAGCGGGTTTTAGCCATGGCTCAGGTTTAAGCCCCTCTTTCAACAAGCTCCGTGCAGTTTCCCTTTCCTGGAGGCGCAGGCACATCGGTGACGTGTCAAAACGAGGTGGACTCCTCTGGGGACCAGTTAAACACAGGGCTGGGCCAATCCACCAAGTGTGCATCGCAATTCGAGGTTCCCATTGGTCTGATCTCCGCCCCTGAAAACGTCATGGGGGTGTTTGGGAAGACCTACATAAAAGCATGATGTCACCGGCAGATGTACTTGTGAAAATTGATTGGGAATTCTGGATAGTGCTGGTTTGGGACTATAGCTTGGGCATCGCTGCTGAAAACTGATGCACTCCGAATCACCATGGTGGCTTGAAAGCCCTCAACACACACCAGAGACAACTCTTGCATCCAATTGGCTGCGTCCAAAGCGCGGTTTCTCCAAATGCCACCCACCAAAGCCCCCTCTGACACACAGCCCGCCAGGTCAGACGCCCAGCCGGCCTCGGAGTCCGGCAAGATTGCCAGAGCCTTGGTGCTCTTATCCTCCTCCACCTGACAGCTTCGGATTCCGCTGACGCCTTGCGGATGCCACAACTTGCTGAAATAGAACATTTGATAACCAGGGCATCCACGACAATAAAAGTCAAACCCAGTTTCAGGGGACACAGTGAAGGTCGTTAAATTGTTGTTTCTTTTTGTCGTGTCTTGGTCACCCCCGTGTGTGAAGACACGCCTTATCTCACGTGACCCGACGAACTCGCCCCCTGCCCCCCTCCCCTCCCGGCCAGCTCTTGGGCGCGCTGAAGAACTGCGGCGAAGCTCGGGGCCTAAGGAACCCGCTTGCGAGTCCCAAGGCTTCCAGTTTTCAGTATAGGTAACCAGGGGAACCCACATTTCCGCAACTATGTAATATTTGAAAAAAACAAGCTGATAAAAACTTGTTACCAACTGTAGCGACAACTGGAAGCACTCGGAGTGTCAGATATTTGGAGGTGAACTTTCAATTCCATAAACCTCGTCAGCAGGGTGGAAACGGGTTGCCATACATAATATGTGAACGACAAGTTCCCAAGCCCAATCAAGTTTTCCATGAAAAGTCTTCCGGCAGGGGAAAAACAAAAAATGTTCACATCATTCACAATGACCTTACTCAAGAAATGGGGGCTGCCATGACCGTGGGTAACTTTTTCCATTGAGTGGGAAATATCATATTTTTAGTAGTTTTCCCCACTGATCGTCCCATGTAAAGGACCTTTGCGGCCGGGGTTGGTCGCAGCTAAGCCCGGCGCCGGCAAGGAGCTTTTGCCGCACACCCATGTCCTGAAGTCAGGGACTGCCCCCTCCCCCCCTTTCCTTCCGGAAGGGGTTGCCATGAAACATGCGTGTTGCGAAAGGCGCCAAAGAAAGCAAAACACCTTTCCTTCAAAAACTCCCTTTTGGTTGAGGACACAAGCATGAGACAGACACAAGGCATTTAAAAGGGGGGGTTCAATGTTTTGTCGCCATTCAAGTGCCCAAACCACAAACAAGCGCACATTCCATCATTTTACATGGGGCTTTGTCTCAAAAGTCGGCACCCCTCCAGGTGATTCATGTTCCTTTTGATGTTCTTCCAACACCATCCTATAGAAAATGCCCCACATACCCACACGAGTTCAGGTCCGCCAACCAGCTTTGAGGGTACAAACTCATAGCCAAGGGCAGTGCTCGAAGGCGAAGATCCCGAGCGCCTGCAAGCGGCGCGAAAGGAGTTTGAGGGTGTGATGCCTTTGAGGATAAACCTTTTCAAGTTGGTTTACATGCAAGCCAACAGCCAAAAAAAATGCGGGCCCACCTATTTGGACACATACATTATTTGGCCTTCTCGCCGCACCATTTATTTTGTGACTGTCTCCGGTTTACCTTCATCTGTCCTGTTCCTGATTGCGGCTCGAACGGGTGTTTGCAAAAATGGCTTGGACCCCAAAATGGCCAGCTCACTTTCATTTCCTTTTAAACACAACCAAACCCAGTTCCCCAAATGGGATCAAATTGGTACGCAGAGACTAAAAGCCCAACCTCCGGACAAAGTGGAACAAATCACGAAAGAGTACTGTACAATAATTTACTACGTCACTTTGAAGTGGCTTGTCACAATGCACCGAACGGAAGGGCCTCATTATTTTACCATGATCCAAGTCACCCCTACGTGGGTTAAAGGGACCCCCAAAAACCGTCAAATATAACCCCGGACCTAGATCCCCTAGGGCGGAACCGGGTGGCACCCACATACATCGGCCTTCGGTCCAGCGTTCACGAAAGGCGACCCTGGCCTTCTCCAAGTCCATGGCTGGCGGCTTGTGGGCGCCAGACACCAGGCCGCGCCCGGCTTGTAACTCCTGGGCCGGACCCTGGACTCGTGAAAACTGCTTTGCCCAGGTCAACTGGGTCGCAGTTCTGTGACATGGCAAAATGGGGGCAAAATACTGTAACATCCTGGTAACATGGCAAACTACAAAGCACGCTCGCTTTGGCGTTAAAGCCCACCAGCAGCATTTATTCCGTCATGGGCTCACTTGGAACTTGGTTTTGTGTGTGCTTTCCCAAAGCAGGGGGATGACCTTTTATCCATCATTTGCTTTAGGCGATTGCTTGATGTTGTTTTCCCCCTGGCCTTAAAAGGGAAACTGTTGAGACTATCAGGCGTACTAAGAATGAAAGGAATGACGAGAACGTGGACGTGGACTCAACTTGGGAACACTTCCTTTGGGTTGCCCTAACCGTAACCAGAGAAGAAAAAAGACCCCTCCCCAAAAATGCTCCTTGGGGTTGCCCTAACCCTAACCAGAAAACAAAAAGACAAAAACAAGCTCCTTGGGGTCAAAAGGGGCCCCCAAACAAAAACACGACATGGGACCCCCAAGTCCAACGACTCGCAAAGCGAGGCGCCATGTCATACCTCCAGCGCGAGCCCAGGTCCCGCAGCTCCGTCCAGGCGGCCGCCACCTGAAACAGCCCTACGCCATGGGCTCCCCCATCGTCATTTGGTCATGGGTCAAAAGCCAAATCGTACCCCCAGTGAACATCCCAATCCCCACTCAAATAGGTTCTAACATGGGTGGTGCATTCACCTACCGCAAAATGGTACCATTGGTTTTGACCCACAGCCATTTGACTGTATCCCCTCCTTTTGGCCGGTTCCCTTTTGGTAGCTTCCCTTTTGGTCGTTTCCCTTTCAATTTGTTTCCCTTTTGGTTCTTGCCCTTTTGGTTGTATCCCCCTCTTTTGGTCGTTTCCCTTTTGGTTGTATCCCCCTCTTTTGGTCGTTTCCCTTTTGGTTGTTTCCCTTTTGGTTGCTTCCTTTTCGCCGTTTCCCTTTTGGTTGTATCCCCCCTTTTGGTCGTTTCCCTTTTGGTTGTTTCCTTTTTGGTTGCTTCCCTTTTGGTTGTTTCCCTTTTGGTTGTATCCTCCCCTTTTGGTTGTTTCCCTTTTCGTTGTTTCCCTTTTGGTTGTATCCTCCCGTTTTGGTTGTTTCCCTTTTGGTTGTTTTATTTTTGGTTGTATCCCCCTCTTTTGGTTACTTCCTTTTTGGTTGTTTCCCTTTTAGTTGTTTCCCTTTTGGTTGCTTCCCTTTTGGTTGTATCCCCCCCCTTTTGGTTGCTTCCCTTTTGGTTGTATCCCCCCCCTTTTGGTCGTTTCCCTTTTGGTTGTTTCACTAAGGAAATGAGAAACAGAAAACATCACAACCCCAGCAATGCGGCGGTTGTGCGAAAAACACTCCAAGTTGGGGGTTGGCACTGGGTGGCATCTTGAACAAGGGACTTCCAGGAAACCCCGAGAACACCAACCCATGCTTCTCGGGTGTCCGCCTTGCAAAAGGCCTCCTCTAGGGCAGGAGAGCTCTCGCACCTCCTGCAATGGAGACTTGGAAAACGGAACGCAAACGGAAACGGGGCCCCGCTCCATGGTCTGGTTGCGGCAAATAAGCCTGTGGATAGGCCAGCCAGACCACTTTGTCACTGTGAAGAAGGCCTTTCTGGTATCACCGAAAGTGGGCCCAAACCCCAACTTTCCGCAACCGTGCAAGCCAGGCGGGGGGGGAGGGAGGGAGGTGCGGAAGCTTTTCTTGAGCCAAAATCGGGTATGCTAAAAAAGGTAATTCCGAGAAAACACAAAAAAAGAAAACGTTCGGAGACGAATTCCCAGTCCAAACCCCTTGTGCCCGGTGGCCCGTGCGACTCCTCGGGTGCACCGCCACGGCCCGTCGCAGGAAGTTCTGCCTCAGGTCCATCTCAGAACCATCGGCCTGCGCCCCGAGCCTCGGCTCGTTTCGGAGGCCAGACCGCGGGTCGTTACTCTGCAGATTCGTCAAAGGAACACCAAAAACCCCACCTTAAAGGAATCTCCAGGGGGGCCTCCTTTTTGGGCTCTGTTTTTGTTTTTTCTGCAGGGGAGTTTTCGGGAACTTGGGGAGTGCTTGGCAAGTGCTTGGGAATGGTTGGAGGGTGGCGGAGCACGGCGGGGAAAGTCAAAGGGAAGTTAGGGGTGCCCAAATTTCACTTGAACCTCTGAGCCCTTCAAACTCTTGGCCCCGTCACGCCTGGAAAGCCGTCTTAGCATTTGACGTGGGATAATCGTAACGGAAATGAAGACACATTGCAGGGAGGCGCCTGCAATATTGAAGTGAGCTGGGGTCCGTGGGGTGCTTTGCAGGCAAACCCCAAAGGTAAATGTGCTTGACATAGGGTGCAGTGCGAGGCCATGCAGGTGTTGCTTTTGCCTTAAATAAAGTGGCGTACAGGGTACCCTATGTTTCCCTCTCAACCCCATCCCATCAAAAGCAAATGTTACTTGATATCAGCCAAACAGATCATGTCCACAACTCTGAAAAAGGAACAGCCTGGAAGGCCGTAAGCAAGCTGCCAATATATTGGCTTTTCTGCCACTGCTGCCAGGGTTCAGCGCGTACTGGTCCACTGCGGACAGCACCTAGCTCACAAACAAAGGCAAACCGGGACCCCAAATGGGCGTCTCTTGTTGAGGGAAACCAAAGGCGACTCCGCTATTGTGGAGGCTCACCCATTTTGGCACAACCCCGTGGAAGTGACCGCCGACGGATGCGGAGTAGCTCCTTTTTACAAATACCCTGAGGACAAGCGTTCGTGACCATGGTAAATGCTCCCGGTTCCCCTGAAGGGCATGCGACATGTTGGTTTTTTGGGTCTGAATTTCAATTGGAAGTTTGGGGTGCAAAATTTGGCGTCCCTCTCGTGCTGCAGTGTCAAGAAAGTCTTCTAACTGTGTGGTTGCCATTTTCAAAATACCAAAGAGGGCCAAACACAAACCTGTATGCGTGTTGTCCGAGGATACCATTTTCGGGTAGGAATACAAGGACAACAAGAGGAAAGCGAAATTTGGGGGAGTGCCCCTTTGACACACCCACATCCCCCAAATGACTCCTTTCTGGCACGAGCCTCTTGGGCCTTTGCCGTCACATCATCGCATCCTGGGCAGGAAGCCGAAAAATCACCTGGAGAGACGCCCATCTATGAGGGGAAAACACTTAGCCCCCCCCCCCCCCCGCCCCAAGAAGTGTTCTTGCCTTAGAGCAGGTTCCTGGAAGAGCACTGAGAACCATTCTGGCGAGTGGCCCTAGGGTGGATAAAGGTTATGAGGAAAACCAATTCCGCAAAGCTTGCCAGCATCCAATCATTCTGGGGTGGCACCCCATTTGTGTGCACCAATTTCCCATCGGAGTGGACCCACAAGCGTGCCCACCCCACTTCCCGCCTGCGCACGATGTGGGCCTCGGGCGCAACTGGCCATCTGATAGGGCAGTCAAAGGATCCAGGGTCTAACGCCATGCACGCGCCCTTGCAGAATCCAAAGGTCTCATGCAAATATCTGAGTGCTGCGGCGGCTTGTCTTCGGGCTCATTTCCGTCAGCCTAGGTGTGGCACAGTTTGACACATACCCACATTATCTCAAATGTTGGTGCACTGGGCCAAGAATTTGCTCCGAGTTTGCCACTTGACACAATTGCCAGGCAGCACTTGGCAGACAAATCAGTGGGTTCCTTGGGAGCTGTACTCAAACTAAGAGCCCCTCCAAAGGGTCAAAGGGGGAGATGCTCCTTTGCTTCACCCTCTTCAAAGGCACTTTGGCAGGGGGCTTGACCTTCACGGCTGCATTGGAATTGCAACAGGAGATTGTGCTGCCTCAAGGGAAACCCCAATTTTAGTTGCCTCACCGGCTTCCTTTCTTTAACACCTAAGCCCCTCACCAATGGTTTTGGGGTCAAGCCATCTACCCCATCTCGCCGTTTTCAGCAAACAACCAGAGGCTCTTGACCCCAAAAGAAACGCGGTGCCCTTTTCTTGGTCTGCTGCAAACGCGATGCTCTGAGCGCGGTACGGGCCGAAAAGACTCCGAGGAGGAAGCCTCGGCGCCGGATCCCAGGGATCCCACCCAAAATTCAAAGTCAAAAGGTGACCGCAGGGTTTGTCTTTTCCACTGAAATGCACAGCCTCCCTTGAACAGGGTTTCTACACTACAAGGGGGGGCTGCTTACTTATAACCCAAACAGAGGGTTGTTCAAAAGGCAAAGAGTCCATGGCGGAAAAAAAAATGGGACTCTGCCAAATGGAAGGAGCTGTAGGTATGCTTACAATTCACCGAGCTACTTCGAATGGCAGTCCCAAGCTGATTTCCTTTATAGATCCAACAAACGGGCCGAAGCATTCTTGCGAAGTGAGTGAGTTAAAACGGTCTAATTTTGCACCAAAGAGCAACCAAGCATGCTTCTCCAACCTTGTTTTGGCTCAGCCCTTGACGGACACCGCTACGGCCATGGCTAAGGGCCTGGTGATTTTCCTCCCTCGCGTTGCTTGATTCATCGCAATCCAAAAAATATCGATGGAAAACAACCAAATCATCCCATGCATGCCGAGGGGAACAATGTGCATGCCGTGCATCGAACCCGTGTGGGTAATATATATATATATATATATCATATATATATATATATATATGGCCTTGGGTGTCTTCTCGGCGCCTTTGAGGCCCTTGAGCCGACCAGCGGAGATTGGCATCCATGGGCGACATCTCGGGCCATGGTGTGTGCCTATCCTAAGCCATTCAGGGTGCCGTAAAGGAGACATGTGGGCCAAAACAAAACATGACCTTTACCGGTTGAACTAGAAGATCCTCTCACAAAGCAGGCGTTTTCTTTGGACGAATCCTTCTTGGAACCCTGGTTCAATAGCAAGTCGTTGAGCACGGCATATGCAGCGGGTCCCAGTGGGGTGCGAGTAGTAGTAGATGCTGGCCCGGATCCACTGCCTGACGCTCGAGGGGGTGGCCCCAATGAGAGGGCTGTACTCGGCTTCATACCAGGCCGTTGCACTTGGGCCAAGGCATGGGTGGCTTGTTGAGGGTCTGCCTTAAAAACAAATCAAAACAGGCAACCAAAAGGAAACCACCTTTTTTGGGCATTGGGGTATCCCCAATATCAAAGACGTGTCAAAATGTGTGTGTGTGTGAATGTTTCAAGTGGATCCCGATCGATGCCACAAACGCAGACTTCTGTGAGGGCAGTTTGCGTTGACTCATTTTGAGCTTACGCGCACTTGGGATCCCAACTAAACAATTGGAATTGGCAGACTGCCCTTCCATAGGTCATGTTATGAAATCCTGTGGAGATTCGAGTGCCCAAACAAGGCAGGGCCACGCCAACTTGTGGAAGTCTGCCACGACCTCAGCTGGACCCACTTGGTTTCTTCATGATGTGGTTTTGCCCATGGACATTGGGAGCGAAACCAAAAGGACACCTCTATGGTCATAGGTCTTTGGTTTGAAGCTTCGAGTTCCCTGTCGCCCGAAACTGGACAGCAGCGTAGAAAGCCTTTCCAGTAAGGTGTGCTTTATCCAGCAAAGAACAGACCTGGTTAGTCCCTGCCCCAGCTCACTAGTCCCAAACGGAAACAGGGGCCAACCAGCCTGTTGTCAAAGTTCCAAGTTTGGTTGAGCCCACCCATGTACCGAGGTCAAAACATCAGGCCATGCACATGGTTCCATTGAGAGATATCCTATACTGCCAATCTAGTTCCTAGAAAGCCCCAGCAGGTGTTTCTCTTGCATTCAAAACCCTGTGTATGGTGGTCTTCATTTGATCCCCTCGGTCAAGAAGGAGGTGCTCACCAAATCAGCGACTATTCACCAAAGCAGTTTGGCCCACAAACCTTTCAAACAGGGCTAGCCTCCCACCCGCAGACATGCATTTGCAGACCTTTGGCACCCTCTTGTGGATTTGCTTCTTGTGACTGGGTCCATTAAAGTGACACATTGTGACACAAAATCAAAGATCCCCTCTACACAAAACATTCTAAGACCCTCGAAATGCAACATTCTAAGACCTTTCGGGAGGCCAGTGCGCCCTTTGCCCTTCGCGCCGCAAGCTCGCCTCCACGCTCGGGCTAACGCTCAGCTCGAAGGGCTCCATCTCTGGGGAGGAGAAGACCCCCTGCGGATACACCGACCCCTTCTTGGTATCCCGGGCCCCATATTTTGCTAGTGCCACTTCGGCCCCCTGAAACGGCAGTTCATTCCCTGAAAATTGTTGAATCGCTCCCTTGATCGAGAGAAAGGGAATTGTGCCATCTGCTTTCACCACGCAGTTTCCAAACATATGCCCTTGTCAAAACCCTTATATTGGATCACAGTCATGGTTCCACTAAAATATATACGAACCCCTTACAACGGTTGTCTAAATTCCCCGCCACGAGATCAGAAAGTACCCCCCTCCGCTCCAGGATATGTAGGCTGGTCTGGTTCAAAGGGATTCCATGGTTGGGGCACGTTTGCAGGAGCCCGCAACGATTCGTTTTAGATGCAGGCCCTAAAGCGTTCGGGGGCAATGCTTGTTGTGGGCGGCTTGCTTAAAGAAACCTAACCAGCCATTTTGTCGG